TCACACCATTCAAGTTGGTGTGGTATGCATTTAGCTAGTGTAGTGGTTACACTGCTCTGGAGGTGCACGTGGGTTACACTGTAGGTTGAAATAAGTTTGCAGTTACAGTGTGGACGTAGATTTCCTGCAGAATTCACTCAGCAAAGGGAAAAATCTGCTGCATAGCCGTACTGATATGGACTGGGTGTAAGGAAGGCAAGGATGGATCCATCAAACTACAGGCTGAATTCAAAGACACCACAATAATCAGGTCGGTTCATTTCAGTGCAACAGCTCACAGTGGTACTCGGTAGTTTGTACGGCGCCCACATGTATGCTCCAGAGGTGTTCTGTTGGATTCATGACAGGCGAGCGTGGGCGCAAGTCGGCGAACCCAGAACCTTCATACTCTCGCCACATGAGGCTGGGCGTTGTCGTGCACCAGGAGGAACCCTGGATGGAGACGGAGGATCCAAGGATTTCATACCGATGAGAGTTATTCCATTACAGAGTAGCAGGCGCCCGTTTGTGGAAGCTGCCACAGTGAGATGGACCACGCTGTATGTCTGGGGAATGGCGGTGTGTAGTACTTAAAAGATGGAGGAGAAGCAAACTGGTAGGTGTTCACATGCCCAGTCTGTTTTATCATCTGTGAACACTTTCCCCCTAACCACAGAAGCAACAAAGCAAAGGGAGCCAACACGTCTAACACATCAGCAGCTGCTTACACCGGCAGAAGCACAAGAGCTGACCAACAGAAAGCTTAAAAGTGTCAACAACTCACCTCAGTATCACAGACAGGTGAGCTTCACTGACTCACAGACTTGTAACTTTCACAGTTTTACAGCCTCGTCCACAGAAATCGATGTGGATGCTCACTGAGAGCCAACGCTCACCACAGAGGAACGGTGGCTACAGCTGTTTGTCCTGCAGCAGCCACCGTAGCTAAGATTACACACTGCAACCTGCAGATCTGCTGACATGCTGCAGTGAGACTGTACACATTGTAACTAAGCGTTTGTGCAGCGTGTTTAGCCTGCAGCACACTTTCCTTTCAGAGCCTTGTTTGTGTGCATAATGTCTGCAGAAGATAGTTATGCTGCTGATGCTGATATTTACAACCAGATGTCATTGTCATTACTCGTGTTGTTTCTACATTTTGTTACAATTTAAAAACACAGTATGGTACAAAAATCCCTGATACATATTTATGTGTGAGCTACAGCAGGCCTGCGCACCGATTGTCCACGTTGGAGTACGAGTCGAGGACAGGAAGCCTGCGGTGGTGCACACGCTGAACATCTGCTCATTTGTCTTTGCACAGCCCCTCCCAGATGTGCACAGACTTCTGACAAGTATTACCGAGCAGCTTAGCCCAACGCTGTATCATGACTGGTGTCACACTAAAGTCTCGTTGTTCCTGTCATAACGATATGAACGAGCAGAGCATTCTCTGTTCACTGAGTGGAAGCTGAAACATGCACTACTTTAACCCATTAAAGTTCGCGTTTAAGGAGGATGGGAATGTGTGTCCTCTGTCAGTATGCAGCTAACTGAACGTGTGCTGTCTTTGTTCCAGGTACAAGCCCTTCTTTCCTTTCCAAGTGCAGCCTCTGCACGGCTCAGCCTGTGATCTGGATCTGTCGGTGCACGACAGCCGGCTGGTAGAAGGACGGCTCAAAGTCAGCCTCATTGAATGCAGCAGGTGAGACGCTTCATCTGTTTGTAGCTTGTCACACAGCAACTTTCATCTATAGTTGTATAACTGGGTCCCTGTACAAAAGTACATTAAAATACTAAGACAGGAAATGAATCACAGCAGAACTTAAATACATGTTGGTAACTTTCAACGTGGCCATTCGTGTCATGTTAGTAACACCAGC